GGGGGGGGTTGAGAGTCCAATAAAATCTCAATTACTCATTTCACTGTGGACAGTTAATTTCCCTTTAATATGGCAGGGTAGATAACCAAATAAATGAGGTTTCTAGAGAAGAAAATCCGTAATTTGAGGGGTGTGCCTTAAGTGATTCACTTAAGGTAAACCCCTCATAAAAGCATTTGTTCTGCTCAAAACCTTATTTTAATTGTTATGTCCCTTGGGTCCGAGACGGGGAATATACGCTGAGGCCACACTTTTTGGTTCAAAAGACATAATTCCGGAGCCTGTAATCGTTTTCATACTACAACAGAAAGAATTGGTTCTGTCACATCATTATATATATATTATAGTTTTTGTACGCTAAATATGAATACCAATAGATCAAAATTACGAGAGAAAAACGTGTTTGAAAATTGATGCAATTCCCCCTTGTGTCGGACGTTTACTTTTTGTTCAGAGGATAAAATTCAGGACTTTATAACTTTTTTCCTCAACATAATGTAAAACTTTGGGCCTGTCACATCATAATATGCATGTTGCAATTTTTGTATGCCAAATATGAGTACCAGTAAATTAAAACTACGAGAGAAAAACGTGTTTGAAAATTGATGCAATTCCCTTGTGTCGGACGCTTACCTTTTGTTCAGAGGATAAAATTCAGGAATTTATAACTTTTCTCCTCCACGTCATATAAAAATTTGGGCCCGTCAGATCATTATATATATGTTGTAATTTTTGTATTACAAATATGAGTACCAATAGATGAAAATTACGAGAAAAAAAAACGTGTTTGAAAATTGATGCAATTCCCCCTTGTGTCAGACGTTTACTTTTGTTCAGAGAATAAAATTCAGGATTTTACATTTTTTATCCTCAACGTAATGTAAAAATGTGGGCCCGTCACATCGTTATATATATTATGTTGTAGTTTTTGTTTCTCTAAATTTGAGTACCAATACATTAAAATAAGAGAAAAATATGCGTTTGAAAATAGATGCAATATTTTCTAGCTCTTCCCCAGTAGTTTCTAGCACAATCGAAATATTTACTAGCTCATCCCCAATATTTTCAAGATTATTTTCAGCATTTTCTAGCTCCTCCTCAGTATTTTTTAGCTTGTCCCCAGCATTTTTTAGCTGATTCCTAATATTTTCTAGCTCATTCCAAATACTCTCCACTATTTTTTTAGCTCATCCCCAGTAATTTCTAGATTATCCCTTTTATTTTCTAGCGTACCCCTAATATTTTCTAGGTCATTCACAGTATTTTTTAGCTCATCCCTATTATTTTCTAGATCATCCCCAGTAGTTTCTAGCTCATCCCCAGTATTTTCTAGATTTTAAAAATTATTTTCAAGCTCATTCCCGCTCGTTCCCAGTATTTCCTGCCTCATCCCTAATATTTTCTAACTTATCCCCAGTATTTTTTTGAGCTCATCCCTAATATTTTCCAGCTTGTCCCCTATAGTTTTTAGCTCATTCGTATTATTTTCTAGCTCATTCTCATTATTTACTACTTTCTCCTAATATGTTCTAGTTCATCAGTTATATTTTCTAGCTCATCCCCAGTATTTTCGAGATTATCCTTATTCTTTTCTAGCTCAACCTCTATTTTTAGGTCATCCCCAGCATTTTCTAGTTAATCTCTAATATTTTCTAACTCATCAATAGTATTTTCTAGCTCCTCCCCAGTATTTTCTAGATTATTCTTCTTATTTTTTAGCTCATCCCCAGTATTTTTTAAGCTCATACCTAATATTTTCTAGCTCATTCCAAATATCCCCCAATTTTTTTTAGCTCATCTCAAGCAATTTCTACATTATCACTATTAATTTCTAGCTCATCTCTAATATTTTCTAGCTCATCCTTATTTTTTAGCTCATACCCAGTAGTTTCTAGCTCATTCATAATATTTTCTAGCTCATCCCCAGTATTTTCTGGATTATTCTTATTATTTAAAAGCTCATCCTCAGTGTTTTCTAGTTCTAGCTCATCCCCACTATTTTCTAGCTCATCCCTAATATTCTGTAGCCCATCCCTAGTATTTTTAGCTCATCCCCAGTATTTTTTAGGTTATCCCTAATATATTTTCTAGCTCATCCATAATATTTTCCAGCCCATCCCCAGTATTTTCTAGATTATTAATGTGATTATCTCTATTATTTTCTCGCTAATCCCTAATAATTTTTAGCTGATCCTAAGTATTTTCTAGGTCATACCTAATAAATTTTCTAGCTCGTCCAGAATATTCCCCATCATATTTTAGCTTTACTCCAGTATTTTTTAGATTGCCCATATTATTTCTAGCTCATCCCCAGTATTATTTAGCTCATCCCTAATATTTTCTAGCTCATTTCAAATATTCCCCACTATTTTTCAGCTCATCCCCAGTAATTTCTAGATTATTCCTATTACACATACTTTCTAGCTCATCCCTAATATTTTCTAGCTCATCCTCAGTATATTTTAGCTCATCCCTATTATTTTGCAGCTCATCCCCAGTAGTTTCTAACTCATCACTAATATTTTCTAGCCCATCCCCAGTATTTTTTAGTTTTAGATTATCCCTATTATTTTCTAGCTCATGCCTAATAATTTTTAGCTTATCCACAGTATTTTCTACATTATCAGCAATATTTTCTAGCTCATTCCTGAATATTCCCCAGTATTTTTTAGCTAATCTGAAGTGTTTTCTAGATTATCCTTATTAATTCCTCATCAATGAACTGCATACATGTATTTTTAGAGCTGAGTTGTGAGTTTCTCTCTCTCTCTCTCTCTCTCTCTCTTTCTCGCCGCAACTTTCAATATGGTGCAGTTATTCCAAAAGCAGAGTTCCTGAACATTCTGTTGGGAATCGAACTTATCATGATACCTGTTACTTAGTAGAGAGAGAGGGGAGAGGGGAGAGGGAGTGTATGAGGGAGAGAGAGAGAGAGAGAGAGAGAGAGAGAGAGAGAGAGAGACAGAGAGAGAGAGCAAGACAAACAGACAGACAGACAGACAAACAGACCAAGAGAGACATAGAGAGAAGTAGAGAATGTCATGTACTGATATGTCTTTGTCATCTACTTAATTAGTAAAGATGTCAGTGCATAATGTAAGTGATCTTCAAGTCACAAGAGAACTCAAGGTTTTTTTGTTTTAAGAGATGTAAACCTTTGCATGCTTCACCAGTCACTGTCACCACAGACATACATTTGATGGGCTGGAAGAAAACATATCAGATATGTCAGATTTTTAAAGTTTTTGAAAATTGTGACTTAAATTTTTCAGACTCATACTCGTAGAAAACAACAGTTATTTTGTATATTATATATCTGTAGAGCCTGTTGAACATCATAGTTTGTACTTTTACCCTGATACATTCAACTAACTGCTTTCAATTCATTTCATTTTTGCACTTTGAAAAGTCGGTACACAACCCTAGTTTGACAAAAGTGTGACATTCTGTTCTTTCATCGAGACCATCTGTAACTTGGTAAATACATCTAGACGTGCTAGAAAAAATATTTTTAACCAAAAGAAGACAAAGTGAACTCATAAAAATTATAGTAAATTTCAAACACATTTATTACAATAGATAGTAATATAAGGCATACTATAGAAAAATAACAATAACAACATTTATGCAGTATTCACTTGTTCGTGCCGTCATTAAAATATTTCAAATCTATAAAGTTATTGTAAGTGGCACAAGTCATTGTAAATTGATTTGAACCAGTGAAATAAATCAAACAGAATCATTTTCAACAAGTCTACCACACCTGCAAACTCAACAAACAGAATTTCAACATCTCAAGTCAAGAGACGATTGACATCCTACAATACAGCAGCTCTGACCTGTTTCAGATTGTTCTTTTCAGTAGGTATGAGCTAAAAACTACTGGGGATGAGCTAGAAAACAGGGATGACCTAGAAAAAACTGGGGATAAGCTAAAAATTATTAGGGATGAGCTAGAAAAGAATA